TTCCAAGCATTGGAATGCTAGACAGATTCATCAGGCCCTTTCTCCATTTTCTTCATCATCTGCACAGGTTGAACTCCATAAACTTCACATTGTAAACTTGCTTTCTAGAGCCTTAGTCACTTTTTGTCACTTCTTTTCTATTTCTAATATTTTAGCATCTTTTTGAAATGTGACTTATGGTTCTGGATACAGTAGTGCATTTAACAGTGCAAGGTAAAGAAGTAAGATCTCTCCTCTGCTTGTGTGTCATGGGCCCATTTTCATACCTGCAGGGATTGCATTAGCCTTCTCAGCTGTGAAACAGACTGTAGTTCTGGCAAACTGAAAGGTAAGTGGAAGCTGTTTTCATGGTGTATCTTGAGACCCTTGAGAAAAGTCTCTCTCAGATTGTGGATTCCGTAATACTTGTAGGACAGAGGGAGGGCAAAGATGAAAAAGGGTGTAAAAGAAAGTTGTTGAGGTGGTAGAAAGGTTCTCAGTTTTAAACACTCTGAAAATGGAGCAGTTTCTCTTGCTAACAAAAATAGAACTAAGCCAAGGAAGCAGGAGCTTGTGCCTAGGCTCTGCGTTTGATGCACGTGCACTTCCCGTTGCAAACTGGCCCAGTGTGTCACTCTTTTCCTTACACTTGCTCAGCCTGCATCCATTTCCCCCCTCTTTCTCTTCTTTCACCAGCTTTCCTACCTAATTGTATTTTTACTCTTGAGAACATTCTGGTAGCCCATCCTGAAATCAGGAAACATGTCTTCCTTAGACCCTTCCTTTCCCCAGCATTATGGCCCTCCCAGGGCAGAAGATAGGAAAGCAAAGAAAGACTAGTTATGAATTATGACAGCCCAGTATTCCAGTGTAGATAAGTATTTCATACCCAAACTTTTTTGCCTTTTTCCTTCTGAGTTTGGAATGGTGGCAGAAAGAGAATTTGAACCCAAAACTTAGAGGTAATACACTCAAGAACTAGATTTCTTTGATAGAATTGCCACATTTCTGTGGTCAAATGTAACCTCCAGGAGGAAATAATTCACCTGAAGAGGAAAAAGTCCACTAAGGGACATTTGCCACGAGATCTTTGTTAATGACAGTTCCCTCAGGAGTGACTGTGGAATATTCTGGAAATGCAACACTTTGTTGTTCCCTCACTGTTAACCATAGGAAAGTATTGCTTGTTGCAGTAGCACTGGCTGGCATTAAGAAATCCGCAGTAAAACTAACTGACTTTCCACTTCACTAATGACCTGGATGATGGGAGAGAGCGTACCCTCAGCAAGTTTAAAGATGATAAAAACCGGGGAGGAGTGGCACACCAGAGGATTGTGCTGCCATCCAGAGGGATCTCAAGAGGCTGGAGAAATGGGCAGAGAGGAACCTCAACAAAGAGCAATTCACAGTCCTGTGCCTTGGGAGGAATAAACCCATGTACCAGTATAGGCTGGGGCAAACCATCTAGAAAGTAGCTTTGCAGAAAAGGACATGGATGGTGTAGTGGAGAAGTTGAAGATGAAGCAGCAGTGCGCCCTCGTGGCAAAGGCGGCCAACAGTATCTGGGCTGCATCAGGGAAAGCATTGCCAGCAGGCTGAGGGAGGTGATCCTTCCCCTCTACTCAGCACTGGTGAGGCCCCACCTGGAGTCCTGTGTCCAGTTCTGGGTTCTCCAGTACAAGTGACATCAACATACTGGAGGGAGTCCAGTGAAGGACCACACAGATGATTAAGGGACTGGAGCATCTCTCATCTGAGGAAAGACTGAGTGAGCTGTGACTGTTCAGCCTGGAGAAGAGAAGCCTCAGGGAGATCTCATCAGTGTGTATAAATGCCTGAAGGGAGGGTGAGAAAAATACTGAGTCAGGCTCTTTTCAGTGGTGCCCAGTGACAGGACCAGAGGCAATGGACACAAACTGAAACTCAGGAGGTTCCCTCTGAGCACAAGGAAACCCTTTTTTACTCTGAAGGGTGGCCGAGACCCAGAGCAGGTTGCCCAGATAGGTCATGGAGTCTCCCTCCTTGGAGATATTCAGAAGCTGTCGGGACATGGACCTGGGCAACTTGATCCACGTGACCCTGCTTGAGCAGGGGGATTGAACTGGACAATCTCCCTAGGTCCATTCCAACCTCAACTATGCTGTGATTCAGTGCTGGTTAATCAGTGAACCTGAAGCAATCTATCACAATCGTAAGTCTGATAACAGCATTTTACCTTAGGGCATTGGGTCCTGGCTCAAAACACCATTTCCATTTCTTTGTTAGCATTTTCTGAAATCCATAATGTTACGCCTAAAAATAAAGGAATGGGTTTTTTTAAGTGAAGCTGTTACATGCTGTGGTACGTAGTGGGTGTATGCTCATTTGTTTGCTTGCCATGTTTATAAATGACTGAAAGCATGCTGTCAAAGAAAAAACTACAAAGTGGGTGAGAAGATAGCCTGGAAATCTGAATGTATTCATATGGAGGACAAAAATGCCAGCACATCAGCTACATTTTTCTTGTGCCTTGCTACTGTGCTCATTACACCTGCTAGTGCAGATTAATGCACTTGAACAGATAGAGGCAAACTAAGATTTTCCCTGAAGCCCATCTGCTTTTTTCCCCCTTAACTGTCTTTAGCTGCAGGTGAGACTTACTGTTGATTTTAAGAGCAAGAGAAGAGGAGGTAGAGAAATTAAGCAGGTAATAGAAGGAGGTTGGCAGCCTAAAGTAGAGGGATGGCAAGGGGGGAAAACAAACAACTTCACTAATTAGGAACAAATTAAGGGTGGAAGGGAGTTGTCAAAAGACAAACCTAACTCACCGTGTGACTTTTTCCACTAGTTACAGCTGCTGATAGTGATAGCAGACAGTGTATCGGGGTGAAAAGCCCCTTCAGAGGTACTAATACATATTGCAAAAACTGTTGAATTTCCAAGTGCTCAGATTTTTTTTTTTTTTTTCCTGCTAAGTGAATGTGCTAGAGAAGGACTTTTGAGTCCTACCATAGATTTCTAGATACCTTATCCATTGCAGAGGAAGTGTTTATTGTTTTTCTCCTAGGGACAAACATGAAAGGCTGGTGATGGTGTTTTTCCTTGGTGCACAAAGCTGACCAGATAAGCAGCACATCAGGATTTAGGGACTAGTACGAGAATTCCGAAACTGTGAGTTCAAGAATGTATGTGTACGTGTGTGAATCTAGTCACATGGAACACAAAAGACCCACAAGGCTTGTTGTTTTGGTAGGAGCAAAATAGGGTTTAGCTGTTGTTCTGATGACCTCAATGTTAGTGAGGATTTGAGGTGGATGACGTAAGTAGGAAGGGAAAATGTTGAAAAAAATGAACTGAATTACAGCATGTGTTAAAAAAAGGAAGAGAGACAACACAAAGCTATTGAGTATGTACCTGGTTTAGTATACCTGATAGTTTAACACATGCTTTATTTAAGGAACCAAATGTTAGTTAAGAGTTAGAGAAGATTGTGTGACCCACTGGAGATATATTTGACAACCTGCAGCATAGAATCAAAAGGCCAAATTTTCAGACTGGAATTTTGTATTTAATCTCTGAGGTGTATAGGTCAATAATTCAAGGAGGCACGCATACACAGAACTGTGCACATATATCCAGCTCCATGAATGAGCATATGAAAATTTCAGTTGTGCCATTCTTGGTCATTGCAGCAATACCTTTTTTATTCATTTGCTTCCAATAAATAATTCTGGGAGTATTTCGTCCCTGAGAACACCAAATGTGGGTATTCCCCAACATACTGCTTTAATGGCAGGAGAATAAAACACCAACACAGAAAAAGACATATATTTTAATAAGTCATTAAATAAATTTGTTAGCAAATATAAACTTTTACATAAAACCAAAACCTTTAAATTTTAATAAAATTTGAATGATATTAATCTGAATGAAAATATTTGGAATGTCAGTGTAATAGCTTAATAAACTGTCTCCCAAATGGTTTAGCTAACTCAAAAGGACCTGCACATTCTCTCACACACTTGAAAATGGAGTAAAAATTGAGGTGGAATCTAGCAACTCACGACATCATTTAACAGAAAAGAATATTTGTACCCAGCAGAAACTGTACAGAATTTATGTCCCCAGACTGCAACTCTGAACTGAAATTTGTCTTGAGAATGTGATGCTAATGTCCCTGCTCTTGCTGAAAATGTCAGACCTACAAACACAATCAAGACTTCGGAAGAATTTTGTCTCAATTCTGCTGCATTCTTCTTCCTGAAAGATGTCAATGCTGTTGAATATAAAATGCAGAGGTTGTTCAAAATTGGAGAACTGGCACATTTTGAATGAAACGAAGAATTTTTTCTGAAAGGTAAAACTAGCCCCTATAGCTGAACATACCATAGCATACGGATTACTCTGTCTTCAAGGTCTGAAGTAAAATTAAGAAAGGGAGAACGCAGTCAACCAAACTGGAACATGACCTACTTATATAATATTTTTTCATTATCTGCTTAGCTTAATTTTGTATTTTTATATCTATACACACATGAGTGATACCTCATGCTTTCATTTTTTATCCCTACATCCACCTGAACAACTAGTACAGCATCCAGTCAGAATACAGAGGAACAAAGTGTGGAAGTACTAACTGGGCATATTAAGCTTGTATGGTAGTAAAAAAAAAAGTTAAGGTAACCAGAAATTATGTCTAAAGCAAGTCTTTCCATCAGGTGATTTCTAGTTTCAAATGCCCAATAGGAATTGCATGACTTTTCTCAGAAGGTGGGGAAGTTCCCTGAAGTTCCTCTTTCTGCTGTGGAGCTTTACAAGAAAGTTACTGGTACAAAACCACACTGGCTCTGCCAAAAAATGTTTATGGCTCATGATTAATAGCCTGCCTCTGATCATGCTTCCAGTGATGGTTATGATTCACAGACTGTGGCCTAACTCTTTCTACTTCTGAGACATTCCCTTCTGTAACCCATGCAGCTCTGCTTTCTTCATTGACTCTCAGGATTTTACAATGTCACAGTGCGTAATGAAAGATACAGCAAAAATATAGTCATGCAGACAGGCAGAGCATCATATTTACTACCATTCTGGAGCAAAAATAAAAGCAGAGAACACTGGACAGTGGATTTCAGCCATCAGACAAAAATGTTGCATGTTGTTCTGCAGGGTGTCTAGGGAGCATTCTTGTTCTGGCAGAGCATCTAAGAATATGGGACCTCAGGCCTTGCTATGCGCAGAGATGGTTCCCAGTCAGCAGTCTGGCTGATGGCCTCGGTTTCAAGCTGGATAGCTTCTAGACTGCTAGACTGACACCTAAAATAGATGAATACATGATTTACAGAAACGTGAGAAAAGGGAGCTGAAAAAGAGTTGATAGTAAATGTCCAGTTATCTTAGGATTTGGACAAAGAATGAGGCTGGGCTCAGGATCCTTGGCTGTGTAAGGAAACAGGACTGACTGTGAGGAATGCATTTCCGTCTTGCTAAAAGGAAGGGTAGGCTCTGATGTCAGCAGGAGGATCCTTTCAGTGCTGAATAAACCCTGAACTGCTGAGACCTAGTCTTCGAACAAAATAGAGAAATGCAATGCAAAGATTGAATTCTGTTCCTAGTACAAGATGATTCTTCCAGTCCAGCGTTGGGCAGCCTGTGGTGGAACAATGCCTTGATCCTTCAGCTCTGTGGTGACAGAGATACTTGCACTTGAGGGAAGCCTTATCTCATCCCTCCCCCAGCTCCACCTTTCTTATAAATGGTGATGGACAAGAAAGGTTTATACAGTTCAATGATTTTAGGAGCCAAATCTACAGAAAAAAAAAAAATGGAAAGAAATGATGAAACTGGAGGAAAAAGCAGTAAGCTGGTGCCATGGCAGTCTCACAGAGCACAAAGAAGAAGGAGAAGTGGATCCCAGGACAAGACAGGAGAAAGATGTTTTGACTTGCTTCTGGATGGACTAAGTTGTTGCAGGAACTAAATTGTCTAAGGAAGTTTAGCTTACATCCAGCATGAAACCTAACTTTCTGTCAGCGGCTTGAATGTAGGTAAAGGGATGATTACAAAGAGCAAAGCCTGTGACTCAAGGGACAGTACAGCTGAATGAGAAGTAATAACTTACTCTGGTTGGTAGGTGAGATATTTCTGTTCTTCTTCAATATCACAAAACCCAAAAGAATTGTGATCAGTACAATCACAGCTATAAGTGGGCCAACGAAACTTATCTTCACTTGTTCTATTTCTTCCCCCTGTATCTCTGAATAAGAAAACAGAGGAGATACACACAGCAAAGATTTAATTTGGGGACAAATAGCCTAAACAATCTCTCCCAAAGTTATGTGAATTAGAAGTTTAGAGAAAGGCCTCAGCATCCTTTGCTTTTACAGTGCTTTAATAGTGTCAATAAATCACTATCCACATTGCTTTATTTCCATTTCCAGTAATTAGCGAAACTACCAGGTCTTAATGGCCACTTCAACAACCGTAAGGCAATGTACTCTTTCTGAAGTTTGGGTAACGTGAGAGATCAACAACTTAACTAATACAAGAGCCTATGAGGCAGCTACTGTGCTAATGCTACTCTGTGCTACTGTGCAAGTTTGAAGAACCTGGGATATGTTGGTATCTGTTGCAAAAGATGGTCGAAGCCTAATGAAATGCTGTAAGAGATGTGAAAATACCAGGGAATGCAAAGGAGTTTCCCTCTATTTCTGGTTATTGTGTGTTTGAGGTTTTGGTTGCTAGGGTTAGCAACTGATAGAACTTCAGTTATTGCCAAAGCTTTTGTTTATGTGGAGTTCCTAGCTTCTTACCCACCGTCACTGCTTATCAGGTGGCTACTTTCATAAAGCCAGAGGGGAGAGAAGAAGAATTAAATAGGGAAGAGGAGGATGCAGCATTATAGCTAATGTAGCTAATATAGCCATGTTAACACTCATGAGCAACGTGTAGAGCTGTGCAAACCTCAGAAGACTTCTGTATTGTGTTTTAATATTATTCAAAAACCCTAGAATGTAAGGACATCAGAGCCAGTTTTCCATATCTAGCATTGATGATTTAACCCTTTAGCTAAATTTCTATGAAGAAAACTGCACTGTGGAATTTTTTTCAGAATGAGTGGCAAGCTGCTTTTACATCTGCAGTAGTAAGGTGCATGCCTGTACTACCCTGGCAGGCTTTCCTGCAGTGCTACCATTCCT